ATGGAGATTATAGCACTAGATCCCATAAGGCCGACTCCACAGTTTAAGTCCTGGACCCAGTGGCATGAAAAATCACACCAGGTGCATGTACATGCATGCACAAAAATATTAGGAGGAGAAGGGAGGAGGAGAGATTGCAACCTGGCCATCCTCCCAGGGGGTGGTCTCTCACTTTCTCCTCTTTGTCTCTGGCAAGTGCATACGCCCTATAGCAAAAACTAAAAAATATAAGCCTGGTTTTTAGTGGTATTACATTCTCATGGGTCCTCCAATATCTTATTTGTCCAGCTAATTAAACATTTATAATGAATACGACTCCAACTGAAATTGTAAATTTCAGGTGAGAAAGGGAAAAACCAAGAGGAGAAGAAAGACTTTATATATTCTTATATATGTCAACAAATTTGGAACATTTCAAGGGATTCAGTCAAAATCCCCAGCAAGACTGAGGTTACTATATATATTTAGTTTAAAACAGAAATTAATGTTATCTTGCCAGAATACTTAAGTTCTTTGATTGATAGCAACTTGAATTTATAAAATGGTTTCTTTTAAAAATAATCATTTATTTTATTTTTAATTTATTAATATTTTTTAATTTGACCAGAGAGAGAAAGGGAAAGTAGGAAAGCAAGCCGCCAGGTCCAGGACTTAAATCATGGGTGGCCATGTGGGAGTCTAGTACCTTAACCACCATACCACCTGCTGGCCCCAGAAAATGGTCTTACAATGACGAATGCTAAAAATTTTTAAAATGAAAATGGTTTTAGATTGCAAGACTCTTGAAGCAAGAATCTATGTTTTATGTTTTTCATTTTCTTTCCTCCAAACCTGATTTGTCCTCAGAGCAAGATGCTCAACAGAGTTTATATAATGTGATTCACTGTTTTGTTTTTGTTTTGCTTTGTTTTGTTTTATTTTTTAATAATTGCCAGAGAGCACGTGAAGTTGCAGTAAGAAACACCGAGAAAGAGAGAGAAAGTGAGAAAACGTCCCTCGTAGGGGATGGTCATGCCACAATCCCTTCTCCCCATCTCTTTCACCTTTTGGGATCTTGGGTACGTATGTGCATGTATGCATCCAGCGTGTTTTCAAGATACTGGATTCGGGAATTGTGGGAATCTAGCCATCCTAACCACCAGGTCACCAGCTGTCCCGATTTACTTACTAATTGAAATGTATTGGATGTATTTCCATTTTGGGCATCTTTTACCTTTACAATTAAACCCCTATATGAAAACAGTAAATCAAACAGTTTGGATAATAGTCTACTGTAGACCTGGACTTCATCAACAGCTGACCTCTAATCTGAAAATAAATGGCTTAGTACTAGGGACAGATTCTCTTACTTCCCTTTTCACTTTGGAAGTGACTGGACACTCAGACCTTGAGCTCGGCAGTTCTTAACATTTATCCATGACCACAAAGGGGCAAACTGACAGAAAATCCCCAGCCGGGCTGAGTCACTCCTCCTCTGAGATTTGCACCTGCGTCTATCATAGCTCCACCCCCCTGCATCGTAACACTTGTTTCCACAGCTATAGCTCACACGGGACTGAGTTCCTCGGGCGCATTCACTCCATCTTAGACCCTCTGTACCTAGCAGAGTCACGGTCGTGCACTATCTCCAGAGCCTGTTCTGGCAGCTACTCAAAAAACGTTAAATAAGAACAGAAGGACATGGGATCAGCAGTTAACGTAATGGCTATGTCGCTGGACTCTCATGTAGTCGACCACGTTTCAAGTCCCAGACCTGATGGCTTAAACTCACGCTGGGTGTGTGTGCGTGTGTGCCCAAGGTCCCAAGACGAGAACGGAGAAGAAGGGATTGTGGTGTGGCCATCCCCCCTGGGGGGTGATTTCTCGCTTTCTGTCTCTCTGTCTCTCTCTGTCTGGTGAGTGCACGTGCCCTGTAGCAAAAACCTCTCAAAAAAAAAAAAGAAAAAGAAAAAGAGAAAGAAAAAGAACAGAAGGACATAGATCTATTCAGGGAGACAGATAGCATCTAAATGTTATGTGTACTTACCACGTAATTGAAGGATGTATCAGCAAGCACCGCAAACTGACGGAACAGTGTGTGCCTCGTAAACATCTCATCCTTAAGCGCGTGAAAGCTGAAGTAAAAGAAATGGTCAAATCGGTATGTATTTAAATCATAAGAAAGGCAAATGAGCATTGTGTCAATGTGATTAGAAACCATATTAACCTTTTAAAGTATTACGTAAAAATTTCAAAATAGAAACTTGTCACTTATTTTTTAAAGACTTCCTTTAAAAAAAAAAAGTTTATTTCTTCTATGAGGGAAAGAAACAGACACAACTGGCAGGGTCTTCGTGCTGTGCTCCAGCTCCAGTCTCAGCCAGCCTGCGTCAAGGGTGCACATTCGGCATGCACAGGGCAGCCCTGGGAAACCAGGGACTGTCCCCTGCAGGTCCGGCCATCTTACCATTTTGTGGCCCTGCTTCCTTCTTTTTAAAAGTTACATAGTTTCGGGGCCAGCAGTTAGCGTAATGGCTATGTCACTGGACTCCCACGTAATCGACTGCGGTTCGAGTCTTGGACCCGGTGGCTTAAACTCATGCCCGGCATGGGTGCGTGCGTGCCCAAGATCCCGAGAGGAGAATGGAGGAGAAGAGATTGCAGCGTGGCCATTCCCCCCAAGGAGTGATTTCTCGCTTTCTGTCTCTATGTCTCTCTCTGTCTGTCTGGCGAGCACATGTGCCCTATAGCAAAAACCTCTCCAAAAGAAAAAAAAAAAAGGTACATAGTTTCTAGGCCATCCTGTGGCTTGATACCACACAGCCAACTATGCAGTTCTAGTCCTGAATCCAGTGACTTGAAAAACACCAGTGTGTAGACTTGCATGCCCAAAATCCTGAGAGGAGAATGGAGGACAAGGGATTGCGGGGTGGCCATCCCCCTGGGGGAGGGGGTGGGGGCTTACTTTCTCTCCTTCTCTTTGGCAAGCACATGCACCCTATAGCAAAATGAAAACAAAACAAAACAAACAAAAACTTATTTTCTAACTCTGCAAAGGCATAAAGTAATGGTAATAGCACTCCTCTTGCAAAGAATGTGCTTTAAAAAACACTTTCACTTAAGTGAGTCGAGGCATCTTTCAAAAATGGCTATTTCTAGATATAAGGCAATAAAGTGCAAGATAAGCCTGCGGCGATTTATTCTACCGGAAAGCAAGGGAGTCACTGAGATGATCAAGAGAACACATGAGTCAACTGGAAAGCATACCTGCTGACTCAGTACTGGAGAAACTGAGCATCGCAAATAGTAAGGATGACAATGTGTCGAAACAACACATCTATGAACCATTTGGGAGATTCCCAGCCTATGTGGATTGTGAATGATGTTAAATTTAAGAAATTCAATGGTAGGGAACCAACAGTTAGCGTAATGGCTATGTTACTGGACTCCCACGTAGTCGACCGCGGTTCGCATCCCGGACCCGGTGGCTTAAAACTCACACCGGGCACATGTGCATGTGTGCCCAAGGTCCCAAGAGGAGAATGGAGGAGAAGGGATTGCGGCATGGCCATCCCCCTGGGGGGTGATTTCTCGCTTTCTGTCTCTATGTCTCTCTCTGTCTGTCTGGCGAGCACACGCGCCCTATAGCGAAAACCTCTCCAAAAAAAAAGAAGAAGAAATTCAATGGTATACAAGCACGTTCTGGAGAGAGAGTCAAGAGGACAGCTGGAAAACTGCCTGCTAGTACTGAGGAAGAAATACATGTACAAAAAATTGCAGTGTGCAGTCGCATACACAGACGGCCCTTTGAAGAGATTACGTGTGTGACTCACAAATCCCCTCGCTAACTCAGGAAGAGTTCAGAAACAGCGATGCAGGAGGAGTGTCATGTCTGAAGGAGTGACTCCCCACTACACACGTGGGAGACGTGCAAGGTACCGAAACACTACCTGGCGGAACCGAGAAAGCACAGAGAGCAAGAAATGGAAGACAACTACTGGACTTCCTGAACTGCAGGAGCAAGCGACAGACTGATGGAACTGCTCAGTTGCAAACCCGATACCTTTCACAAAAATGACAGGACAATTCAGTGTTTTGGGTCTAGAGGGTGAAGATTTGAGTCAAAGAGAATTATTCCTAGGCCTTGAAAACTAATAAAACTTGTCACGCTAAATAATTAGATCCATAATGATCTAAAATTCAAAATTTGGATGTTAACTGGTGGAGAGGGGATGAAAAGGAGAAGGAAAACTCAGAAGCCCATAAGAGCATGCCTACCTACTCGACTTGCTTATGAGAGATACAGAGATACTGATAAGCTTATGTATTCATTGGAAAAATCAATACAAGTACGGAAACAACCCCAATGCCTAATAACTGGTGAATGGATCGGTACATTGTGATATATCCGGTACAATGGAAAATTCTTGGCAAAGGAAAAAAGAACACTCTACTGATGTACAATGCAATACAATGGATGAATCTCAAAAGCATATGTGAAATGAAAAGACAGACATGAAAGATTACATATCATGAGATTCAGTTTATATGACAGTCTAGAAAATGTGCCACTTATCGGGTCAGAAAGCCAGTCAGTGGTTACCAGGAGTTCAGGGATTAAACTGAATACCAAGGAGCCAGAAGACTTCCAGGAATAATGGAAATGCGTATTTTGTGTTTGCTGCAGTTATATGACCATACACATTTATCAAAGTTCACCCAACTGTATACTTTAAAGGGGTAAGTTTTATTATAAGTGAATTTATTATAAATAAAACCTATATATATATTCCAATTAGAATACATACATATAAAGGAAAACAGGCCATTAGGTTAGAATAAGATTCAAGAAAGAATGTTAAACAAATAAGATGGTGAACATTATAAAATGATAAACTCTGAAACATAATAAAATAATAAAAATAGTGCTTATTTCTGGGGTTAAAATATTAGAACTTAAAGATCATGCAGTGATATTCTATAACTTGGAAGAATTATAAATGGTGTTAAAGTGTTCTGAGGCTTGTATGTTAGTTAAGAAGGAATCATGGTGCTATTTAACTATAGACTTTATTAGTTTAGCATGCCTGGTAACATCCGAAAGATAATATTAAGATGCTGTCAAGGTTTACATTCCAATAGAGAGAGAAATTAACTTTTAAAATTAATACTAAAACATAATTAAAATCACTGCAGTAGTGACAGCCTATCCATTTAATTCACCAGATAATGAACCAAAGAAGAACTACATTATAATAATCTCAATTATCATCTATTTTTTTTTTGAGAGGTTTTTTTGCCATATGGTGCGTGCGCTCACCAGAAAGACAGAGACAGACAGAGAGAAATCACTCCCTAGGGGGATGGCCATGCCGTAATCCCTACTCCTCCATTCTCCTCTTGGGATCTTGGGCACGCACACACACGTGCCCGGCGCAAGTTTAAGTCACCGGGTCTGGTACTCGAACCACAGAACAACTACATGAGAGTTCAGCGACATAGCCATTACGCTAATTGCTGGTCCCACCTTTTTTGTTTTTTAATCCAAAGGCATGTGCACGTGCTGGAGACAGACAGAGAGACAAAGATAGGGAAAGTGAAAAAATCAACTCCCTTTGGCAGTTGGCTAATAACCCTTCTACTCTGTTCTCCTCTCAAGATTTTGGGCATGCATGTACACATGCCGGCGTGAATTTCAAGCCTCTGGATCCATGACTTGAACCATAGTCAATCATGTGGGAGTCCAGCACTTTAACTACCATGCCACCTGCTGGCCCCATTGTCACAATTTTTAAAGCTCAGCCCTTATTAATGACAAAATATTTAAGAAAACAAGAAACAGAACTCTTTCATTTCATAAAATTAGCCATTAAAAAAAAAAAAAACCCTGCATGAATGGAGAAGCTTAAAATTTCCTCACTTTAAGATTTAGAACAAGATAAGGATGCCAGGTCTCTCTCACCTCTGCTGTTCTGTGTAGTATTGGAAATCAGGCAAAGGCAGCAGAAAAAGAAACATGGTGTAAGGATCAGAAAATAAGACACACAGGGTCCTAATTTGCAGAAGGTTTAGTCTACATAGACAAATGCACAGAATGAACAGATAAAGGTTCTGCAAGGTGACTGTGTAGGAGGAATTTACGGCCCCAGTCTAAGTGGCACAGGTGGCAACATACTGAAATGTGGTGCTGGAAGCCACATGGTCACACACGGGTTTGGATCGAAGGCCAGCCTGAAAATATGCTGGTCATGTATGCACCCAGGACCCTGATGAGCTGGGGGTGGGGGGTAGGGGGCGATAGGGACCATAGAGTGAGGAGACTGCTGAGAGTGCCTGACTTTGTATATGGTGGGAGATGAGGTTCTAATTCCATTTTCCTGCCCGTGGGTCCAGTTTTATTTATTGTAAAGAATGTCCCTTTCCCATTGGGTGTCCTTGGCACCACTGTGGAAAATCAATTGGCTGTAAATACACGCATTTGTTTGGGGGCCCTCTATTCTATTCCATTTGTTTATTTGTGCTTTTAAGCCAGAAGCATGCTGTTTTGGCTACTAGAGCCATATAGTACAGTTTGAAATCAGCTGTTGTTATGCCTCCAGCTTCTGCTCTTAATATTCAAGATTGCTGGAACCAGCAGTTAGTGTGATGGCTATGTCGCTGGACTCCGCGGTTCATGTCCCAGACCCAGTGGCTTAAAACTCATGCCTGGCACGTGTGCGTGTGTGCCCAAGATCCCAAGAGGAGAATGGAAGAGAAGGGATTGCCACGTGGCCATCGCCCCTGGGGGTGGGTGATTTCTCGCTTTCCATCTCTCTGTCTCTCTCTGTCTGGCGAGCGCACGTGCCCTATAGCAAAAGAAAAAAAAAACCTTTAAAAAAAGAAAAAATGTTCAAGATTGCTTTGGCTGTTTGGGTTCCATATGAATTATAGAATTGTTTTTCCTATTTCTGCAAAGAATATTGATAGGGATCCATCAACAGATGAATGGATAAAGAAAATCTGGCATATGTGCATAATGGAATATTATACAGCTATAAAAAAGAATAAAATCCTGTCATTTGCAACAACATGATTAAACCTGGAGAACATTATGTTAAGTGAAATAAACTAGGAATAAAGACAGACATCGGGCCAGCAAGTGGTATGGGGGTTAAGGAGGCTGAATCCCACATGGCCAACAGTGCAGCTCAAGTCTCATACCTGTCAGCTTGAAAAACATGCCAGGTACCTGCTTGCATGCTCAAAATCCCGAGAAGAGAATGGAGAAGGGGCGGCAGCATGGCCATCACCACTGGGGCTGATTTCTCACTTTCTCTGTCCCTATTTCTGTCTCTAGTGAGCACATGCATCCTATAGCAAAGCTGAAGAAAGAAGAAAGAAGGAAGGAAAGAAAGAAAGAGAAAAAAGAGGGAGATAGGAAGGAAGAAGAAAAAAGAAAAAAGAAAGAACGACACATACTACATGACCTCACTCATAGATGGAATCTAAATTAGTTGATCTCATAGAGGGCTGGAATGACATGGGTGGTTGGGGTGAAAGGGAGATATTGGTCAAATGACATATAATTACAGTTAGACAGGCTTTTTTTTTGAGAGTTTTATTTTTTTTTGTCGTTGCTGTAGGTTGGTTATTTATTTATTTATTTATTTATTGCCATAGGATGTGTGTGCTCACCAGAGAGACAGAGAGAGAGAGAGAGAGAGAGAGAGAAAGTGAGAAATCATCCCCCAGGGGAATGGCCATGCCACAATCCTTTCTCCTGTTCTCCTCTGGGGATCTTGGGCTCATATGCAGACGCACCTGGGGTGAGTTTTAAGCCACCAGGTATGGGACTTGAACTGTGGTCAACTATATGGGAGACCAGTGATGTAATCACTATGCTACCTGCTGGTCCCTAGATAGCAGTATTTTATAAATGTGTGTAGAATAGGCACATATGTAGGGACAGAAAATAGATAAGTAATTGCCTGGGGCTGGGGGGCAAAGAATAGGCTGGGTTAGGGGAAGGTGATGAAAATAGAGAATGACCACTAACAGTTAGGCTGTTCTTTTATTTTTATTTTTATTTATTTATTTTTTTTGAGAGATTTTTTGCTATAAGGCATGTGTACGAGACAGAAAGAAAGTGAGAAATCGCCCCCTTGGGAGGGATGGCTATGTTGCAATCCCTTCTTTTCCATTCTCCTCTTGGGATTTTGAGCACACACACACACACACACACACACACACACACACACCTGGTGTGAGTTTTAAGCTGTAGGGTCCAGGACTCGAACAGCAGTCAACCATGTGGAAGTTCAGCGACATAATCATTATGCCATCTGCTGGTGTTCCTTTTTTTATGTGATGAGAATGTTTGAAAAATTTATTGTGGTGATGGTTAAAAAACTCTGGGAACAGGGACCAGCAGTTGGTGTAATGGCTGTGTCGTTGCACTCCCATGCAGACAACCGTGGTTCAAATCCTGGACCTGGTAGCTTAAACTCATGCCAGGTGCGTGTGCATGGCCATGCCCCCTGGAGGGTGATTTCTCGCTTTCTGTCTTTCTGGTGAGCGCACGTGTCCTATAGCAAAAACCTCTAAAAAAACAAACTCTGTGAACATACTAAGAACCAGTGGATTGCACACTTTAAATGGATTAACTGCATGATATGTGAATTGTATTTCAATAAAGTTGTTTTAATAAAAGCGAAAAATTACAGGTCATTGGACTGAACTCCTTCCTATGCTAGGCTCCAAAAGAATGAACCGAAGTCCTCTTCTGCTAAACTTCACCCCACCAAGTCAAAACCAAGTTGTCCACTAGACCTTTCAATACATCAGCTGACAGAGAGAGCACTATAAGGGAATAAATAGCCAAACCCCAAACAGGCCAGTTTCTGCCTACATGATAAGGAAGTCCCTTCTGCTCTGCTCTGCAAGAAAGGTAACTTTGACATGACCGTTACATTTTCCCTGCATTGTTTCTGTTTTCTTTAGCCTTTTTCTGTCTATAACTGCTCACTGACCATGTCACAGAGCAGAATTCTCTGAACCTCTTCTGGTTCTAAGGGCTGCCCAATTGGTCAATTGTGTTTTGCTCAAATAAATTTTGTTAATTTTATTATGTATGAAGTTTTTCTTTTATCAGATGTAAGGAGATAGAAGAAGATATGAGTAAAAATAGACAGGGCAAACCAAAGGCATTGTGGTGAAGGTGGCTGGATCTCGCATGGCCAACTGTGCAGTTCAAGTCCTGGACCCAGCAGCTTGAGAAACACACTGTGTGTGTGTGTGTGTGTGTGTGTGTGTGTGTGTGTGTGTGCGTGTGCCCAAAATCCTGAGAGGAGAATGGAGGAGAAGAGATTACAACATGGCCATCTCCCCTAGGGGGTGCCTTCTCACTTTCTCTCTCTCTGGCAAACACACACACTCCATCGTAAATTAAAAGAAAGCAAGCACAAACGGTTTGGTAAGGAAAAATAATAAACAAATAGAAAAATGGAAACAGTTCAGAAACACAGAAAAAACTCAGGAATGTGCTGAAACAAAGTCTATGACAGCAAGGGTACCACAAATCAATCACAAAAGGATTGTTTAGTAGATGATGTGGGGAAAATACTTCACCGCACATCCAAAGGTAATCTTTCATGGATGAAAGACCTAAAAGTGAAAGGTCAACCAACAGATCTGTTGAAGGTGTGGAAGGATATTGGAGTAGAGACAATGAAAGACTTCCTTGACACAAACTTAAGGTAAAATATTGATGGAAAAAAATGAAAAAGATTTTTGTATAATAAAAGACTAACAATGTTAAACAGCTTGGGAGAAGGTATTTATAACATCTAAGTCTAATAGGGAATTAATAAAATACACAGGTCAATTTCACAAGCCAACAAGAAAGCTAGGCAAAAGGTAAGTAGATGGTTCACAATAGAGAAATCCTTCAAACCTCTCTCTCTTTCTTTTTTATTTTTTTTGTTGAGAGATTTTTGTGATAAGGCGTGTGTGCTCCCTGGAGAGACAGATAGACAGACAGAAAGTGATGGGCTGGCAGGTCGTATGTTGGTTAAGGATGCCGGACTCCCACGTGCTCAACTGCGGTTCAAGTCCTGGACTTGGTGGCTTGCTTTCTCACTTTCTCTCTGGTCAAATTAAAATAAACAAATAAATAAAGTTCAATAAAATAATTAGAAAGAAAAGAAAGCGAGAAAACACCTTGGGGCGTGGGAGTGGGAGATGGCCATGCTGCCATCCCTTCTCCTCCCTTCTCCTTTTGGGATTTTGGGCACTCATGCACACACACCCAGTGTGAGTTTCAAGCCACCGGGTCCGGGACTCAAACTGCAGTGACCACGTGGGAATCCAGTACCTTAACCACTATACCACCTGCTGGTTCCTCAAACATCTCTTGACAGAAATCTGAGTCAGATGTTACCAAACATCAGAGCTCAATCCTTGTACCCCTCTATTTTCCTCTACTGACACTTTGAGCTCATCTTTTTTAATCTCATGGCTTTAAATATCATCTAAACGCTGACACATTTCAAATTCATCTCTCTAGCCTGTCTTTCTTCTCAACTCCAGACATATATTCATGACTGCTTAGTTGACATCTACATTAGGTGACTAAGAAGCAGGTTAAACTTCACATATCAAAGACTGAACTGATAACTCATCAAAACATGCTTGCGTGTCTTCTCTGTTTTGGTCGAAGGCAACTCTACCTTTCCCCTCGCTTTGGTAAAAATCTTTGTAATTACCTTCTGTATAGACAGGATTAAAAAAAAAATAACATGGCATATCTCCCACTTCATAAATAAATGTGAATGACTTTATTGTTTTAGATACTAGAGTGAAGATAGATATTGAGGCTATTGTATTTATTGGCTTGAAATTTCATTCAGTCTAACAAATCCAGGGCAGGCGTCTTTGAGATGAATCATGTTTATTGTACACTTACTAACAAAGAGATTGCTTTGGATATTTCCTAAAAAATCTAACCTTTCTAGATGAAGTTGATCTTTTTTTTTTTTTTTAAGAGTTTTTTGCTAGAGGGCGCGTGCGCTTGCCAGAAAGACAGAGAGACAAAAAGTAAGAAATCACCCCCCAGGGGGTATGCCCACACCACAATCCCTTCTCCTCCATTCTCTTCTCAGGATCTTGAGCACGCACGCACACGCTCCCGGCATGAGTTTAAGCCACTGGGTCCGGGACTCGAACAATGGTCGAGTACATGGGAGTCCAGTGACATAGCCATTACGCCAACTGCTGGTCCCAATGAAGTTGATCTTTTAAGAAAGAATCTATTTCCAAATAATTACAAGTATATTTGGGGAGAGTAGATTGGTTAAATAGGAAATGAATACTTTGAGTTGTTATTTGGGAATATATACATGTGTACTGAGAATAAAGCAAATTAGAGTATTATCTAAGACTGGAAGTTGGAATATTAGGGTAGTTTTAAGTTCTGAGCTTAGTTTGATTATTCTATTTTGGCTGATTATTTTGCATATCTTGTTAAAAGTCTACAAGGGTGGGGCCAACAGGTGGCATGGAGGTTAAGGCGCTGGACTCCCACCTGGCCAATTGCTGTTTGAGTTCCAGACCTGGCTGCTTGAAAATCATGTGTGTGTGTGTGTGCCCAATATCTGAGGAGGAGAAGGGAAGAGAAGGATGTGGCGTGGGCATTCCCCGGGTGTGGGGGGGTGATTTCACACCTTCCCTCTCACTGTCTCTCTGCCTCTCTCTGGCAAATACATGCACCTGAAGGCCAACAACAACAAAGTCTATGAGGGCATTACCAACTGCCTTAAAAGATGATTAGTCACATCATCATAAGTAGGATTTGTATATATCACCACACTCTACCTGTTCCTGAGAATGAAGAATTTCTTTTCCCAGTTTTTGTTTAACCGTTCTGTTTCCTTCCTGTACCTGTAATAAATTTACACATGGTTAAACATTATATTATGTACAAATGAGCAATTATGAATCATTATTCCAATACCTTTCCATCTTCCTTCTTTCATTCTCTAAAGTGGCCTTTAATACTTCTATCTGGAGCTCCAAATTACTTCGGTCTTCAATCTTTTGATAGAAAATACATCACAAAGTTAATTACATGAACAATATATCTTGTTTCCTCTGTAAGTGTGAAAGGTTGTGCCTAGTGAATGGCATGTATATTGTAATGCTATCAAAAATAATTTGAAGAGACGATGAGTTATATTTTCTTCCAAATTCCTGTAAATCAGAAGAGTTTAAGATTCCGTACTTCCATTTCAGTAAATGATTAACTTAAAGCCAGCTAGCTCTAGACTATATCACGAAGCAACCAAAATTTATCTTCATTACCGCTATCCTCACCAGGTATCCCTTTTCTTCTTTAGTTTTTTGCCAAAGTGTGTGCACTTTCCAGAGAAAGACAGAGAGCTGAGAATGGCCGTGCTGCAATTCCTTCTTCGCCATTCTTTTCCTGGGATTTTACGCACATGCGCGTGCACACACACACACACACACACACACACAGACACAAAGTGACCAGTGTGATTTTCAAGGCACTAGGTCCAGGACTCAAACTGCTGTCAGCCACGTGAGAGTCAAGCGCCTTAACCACCACACCACCCAGGTATCCAGGTATCCCTCTTTCTAAACCTTGTTTTCCCTCCTTGTGGCCTCTCCATCGCTTGATCATACTTAATCATAGACAGTAGATGTTCTCAGCAACTCTATTTCCTCTTTCTATCAAAACAGTTCCCAGAAAAGGGTCTGACCAACCCAACGACACTAGAACTTCACAGCATTTTTCAGTATTATTTCTATTTTTCAAGAGGACAAAGTTTTTAGGAAAAGGAATGAATCTCTAACATTCTAGTCATGGCATGAATAAGAGAGATTTCTTTGGATGTGGTAGGGGTGCCCTGCAGAATCACGGTAAAGAGGCAGTCGGGTCCTCTGTCTCTTTCTCAGAACGATTCTCTGTGGAGCTTCCGAAGTTATTGCTGCTTTTTCAGCCTAGCCAGCTCTGATATAAGCAGTGACTAGGTTAATAATAATGACCATATTAGTCATATACCTTGGGCATTGATACTGCTGTCTTTTCTTCATATGCCACTTCAGGTGTTGTATGTCTAATCTGGAAAAAATTAATAAACCAAGGTTAATATAATATTTCAAAGTAATGCATAAAGATGTGTTTTTTTCTGTAGCTTAGAGAAAAGCAATTGAGACTTAAAATATGCCGAATATAGTTCCCCATGGGCCTTCACTGTCTTATCTAATTTGTGTTTATATATTGCATTTACAACTGGACAATTATAACCATTAAAAATGATTTTCCAGGACCAGCAGATGGCATAATGGTTATGTCACTGGACTCCCAACTGGCCGTCCATGGTTCAAGTCCCAGACCTGGTGGCTTAAAAATCACGCTGGGTGCACATGCGTGCACACCCAAGATCCTGGGAGAATGGAGAAGAAGGGATTGCAGAGTGGCCATTCTCCCTGGGCGATGATTTCACACTTTCTCTCTTACTGTTTCTGTCTATCTTTCTCTCCAGCCTGCCCTAAGGCAAAAATCTTTTTTAAAAAATGTTTCCTGGGACAGCAGGTGGTGTGGTAGTTAAGGTGCTAGATTCCCACATGGTTGCCTGAGGTTTAGGTCCCCGACTTGGTAGCTTGAAAATCACAACAAATAAGTAGATAAATAAATCAATCAGTAAGTGTTTTTAAAAATTTTTAGGGTTTCATCATATGGAGTGTGCACTTTCCAGAGACAAAGAGAGGGAAAGTGAGAAATCACTCCCCCACCTCGGGGTGATGGCCACACCGCAATCCCTTCTCCTCCATTCCCCTCTCAGGATTTTGGGCATGTACTCACGTGCACACACATGCCGGGTGTGAGTTTCAAGCTGCCAAGTCTGGGACTCAAACTGCAGTCGGCCACATGAGAGTCCAGCGCCCTAACCATCTGCTGACCACTAGTCCTCCATATTTACTTAATCTCCACTCTCTTTTCCTAAAAACTGAACTTGAACAGATAGCGTTTTTGTGTTCCCGATACTATGGAACAGCAGTGTACCTGGATCCAGATATATACCTGTCACTGATACTTGGCTGATAAAACCAGACTCTCCCAAGTGAGGGGGTGTCAACTTTCCATTTCTGCCAGTTTTTTCACTTCTGTGTCATTCTTAGCTCTCACTCTTTTTTGACGTTCAGATCATCCTGCGTGTTTGATTCCTTTCATGTTTGGTCAGAGTATTTCTTGAATAATTTTTTTATACAGGTCTAATAAGTGGTAAATTATGGGAATTTTTACATGTTCAAGATAGTTTTATTTTGCCTTCATACTTGCTTGAGATTTTAGTTGGATTTAAGACAGATCAAATGTTTTGTTCTTTTTAAAAACTGCATCTTCTTTTTCTGCAGCAACTTACGTTGCTCATAAGAAAATTAGTGTAAGTCGCCTTTTTACTTTGTTTCCTAGTAGTTTAAACATTTCTCTCGCTCTCTATTTCTTGGAGATTTAAAATTGTACTTACTCTTTTCATCATTTCTTTTTTTCCAAAAATCATTTATTTATTGGGGACCAGGAAGTGATGTAGTGGTTAAAGCTCTGGAGTCCCATGTGGCCAGACGTGGAGAGTCTTTGGTGGGCTTTGAACTACCCAAACAGCTGTTTCCTTATCTGTCTACACAGCATCTCATACTTCCTAGAAAAAAACTCTCTTACTCCCACCAACAGAGCGAGTCAGTCTTCCCAAGGCCCATGAGACAGACTACTAGACAAGAAAAAAGGCTTAGGCACAAAGACACCAACTTAACCAAAGCAACAACAACAAAAATTTCTTTTTTTAAAATTTTAGCCTTCCTTGGCCTCTGAAGAGTAGAGGTCACTGGAACAACATAAGGCAGGCATTTTGAGGAATCCTCCTACCTATGTGTTCTCAAAGGGCGCAGTTCACTTGAAACTCCTTTTTGCCCAAGGCAGAAGGGGACCAAGTGAGTTCGCTATTTGATGAGTGACAGACCTTGGAAATTGATAGGGTAAGATCCTCAAAGCTCAGGAACTGTTTGCTAATACGCTAAAGGAAAAAAAATTAATTCCAGTTAAAAAAAAAAGCCCTAGAAAATTAGAAAAACAGATTAATAAAACAAAATAAACTTCTATGTAAAACATATTTATATTTATTTCACTATATCGAAAGTCTTATCAGCGATTGAAAGTTTATTTAAAACTTCTGTGTGTTAAAGGGGGCCACTAGGTGTTATGGTGGTTAAGGAACTGAATTCCCACATGGCCAACCACAGTTCAAGGCCCAGATTCAGCAGCTTGAAAATCACAGAGTGTGTGTGTGCACGCACGTCCAAAATTCCAAGGGGAAAATGGAGGAGAAGGGATTGCAGCATGGCCATGAGGGCAATTTCTCACTTTTTCACTCTCTCTCTCTCTGGTGGGTACACATACCCCATGGCAAAATAAATGAATAAATTCTGTGTTTAGATTCACGGGCAGTAAAAATGAGTTCCAGTTTTCCCAAGCTCCCTCTTCCTGACACTCGGATAATGATCAACTGTGTAATAACTAGAGATAAGGCCACGCTCAAGCTTATCTATTTCTAGAACTATTTCTATAAAGCAAACAGTTACCCGATCTCTCTAAAAGACAACAGTATTAAAATAATGAAGATAATGTCTCTTTTCATTAAAAAAACAAAGAGATCTACAAGTAGACTAGAGTGTTTGCTCTCCGGCTCGAGTTGAACTTTCGACTTTGTTATAGCATGTTACATTGAATCCTGGCTCTGTCCACACTAAAGTGTCATTTTGTTTTGACAGCTGCTGACATTCCACGTTCTCTGGAATACACATGCTGGTCTTTATGCACTCATTTCATTGACAGGTGCAAATATTGTACTGCTTAAATGATAGCGGTGAAAAGGAATAGCAATATTAATAGAAAAGTGGTTAACTTCCTCAGCCGGAGATGTACATTAAATAAAGGTAATCACGAATTGTGATGATAAGGTATTTATTAGAAATATTTATTTCCTTTTCGATCTCAATGATATGTATTTATAACTAAGAATTTACACAATTAAGAAATACGATGCATTTATAATAGAAGTTATGATTCTTAAATTTGTTTCCCATTTGTTTAGTACTTAAAACATTTTTTAGGTTGGTTTTTTTTTTTGGCCATAGGGTAGATGCACTTGCTAGATAGAGATAAAAAATGACAGAGAGAGGAAAAATGAGAACTCACCCTCCTCCTCAGGGGAGATGGCCATGCTGCAATCCCTTTTCCTCCATTCTCCTCTCAGGAGTTTGGACACACACACACATGTGCCCAGTGTGATTCTCAAGCCATTGGGTCAGGGACTTGAACCATGATTGGCCACATGTGAGTTCAATGCCTTAACCTCTACTCTACCTGCTAGCCCCTAAAACTTATTTTTTAAAATTTAATACACTCTTCTAATAGGAACAACAGCTAAGGCTCTGTAATAATAGAAGTACAATTATGCTTACTCACTGCCTTATTATGAACTATATTCCTTACTGGATCTTCATACCCCATTTCCTTTTTCTTGGCAGGAGTCATCATTCTGCTGTTTGTCCTAATATTCAGAAATATCCCTCTTCTAAAACTTTGCCCATTCTTTCCAGGTTTTCATGAAAGGTATTTTGCCTCTTTTCCCTTGAAGACATTGTATAGATTACTATTAAAACAATCTTTCTGTCCCAGCCTAGTGTCACAGGTGATAGAGGTGCTGTGCTAGGCTGGAGGCCATGTGGGAAGGCTCCAGGTTCACGTCCTGGGTCTGCCCAAACACACCCAGCACATGGGTGATACTGGCTGCCTGCAGGACTTGGGGGAGGACTGCTACGTGAAGATCCTACTGCGGGTCTCTCTCTCACATGAAGGAGCAAAGTAAACTTCAATATATATCTATATACATTCAGAACACTGAGAATAAGCTAGGCAATCAAGCACTAATCATTATAGAAGCCTAAAGTCAAATATATATCGATCTACATATATCACTTGTAAATTTTCTTCTAACCAAATCCTTAAGCTAGGCAAAACCTTTCAAAGCTAGGACGAGACTTTCTTCATCTGCGATATCCCAGCAGTGCTACTCCGTGCCTGCCAGGGGCTCTGGAGCATCTTGGCAGAACTGGGCGTGAAGGCCTACAGAATCCAGACTGATTCAGGCTACCTGCAAACCTCAAGCATGGCTTCTCAAATGCCTGGAATGACCCCACAGGCAGGCGGGGCCTCCTCACCTGGCTCTAGACCAACCTTGACTTCCTGTTCACTGCAGGAAGTGAGCTTATAGAAGCAACAGGCAAATTTACTAAACTATCCAACGTGAAAAATCTGCAATCAAAACTCTTCAATGATGGGAATGATTCTTTTAAAGAAGGTGAAGCCATTTTTTCTGAGTGTCGAACAGAAACAGTGTGTCAGAGAGACATTAGCAAGTTGATAGGGCTTGGGTAAGTAAACTGCTACTTACATGGAGCAAAATACTGCACGTTATTAATTATATATATTCAGTCGCATGGAGCAATGCTCCCCATGTCTCGCTGAATATTCAAATCTGCTTTAAGACTTGTCTGAAAGGATGCTCAGAAGAGCTTTTCAGTCATTATCTTTTGCTGGCAGAATTTTTTTAGCTTTCTTTCATGATAGAGAAAAACAAATATAGAGAAAAGGAGAGACAGGGACCCCTGACAGATTCTTGTCATGTCATCATTTTCCCCCCACCCCCAACCTTATACATAGCCAGCCAGCATCATGGGTGCGTGTGCAGACATGCGCAACATGTTCGAGTTTACCTGGGATCTGAACCCCAGGCTTCCCATATGGCTCCAGTATCACACAGCAGTACCCAAAACCAGGATTTTTAAAAAATTTTCTTCTTTTAGCATTTCTTTTTTAAAAAATTACTTAAATTACTTATTTTATTCATTTATTATTATTTTAAAATTTGCTATAGGGCACACACACTCACCAGAGAGAGAATAAAAGAAGAAAAGAAAAAAAAAAAAAACAGAGAAAGCGAGGGAGGAAAAGTGAGACAGCAAACCACCAGGTCCAAGATTGAAACTGTGGTCACCCATGTG